TACACGATAAGAGATGCTTTGAATACACAAATAATACACGATAAGAGATGCTTTGAATACACAAATAATACACGATAAGAGATGCTTTGAATACACAAATTATACATTATAAGAGATGCTTTGAATACACGAATTATACATTATAAGAGATGCTTTGAATACACAAATAATACATGATAAGGGATGCTTTGAATACGCAAATTATAAATTATAACATATGTTACTTTGAATACACGAATTATACATTATAAGAGATGCTTTGAATACACGAATTATACATTACAAAAAATGCTTTGAATACACAAATAATACATGATAAGAGATACTTTGAATACACAAATCCTTTTTTGTTATAAGACATGTCGCTTTCTCTATTTATGGGATAGGACCATACTCTTTTCAGCATACCGTACCACCCATTGAGTACTGAGAAAGGACCGTATCTCTTTCAGCATACCATACACCCCACTGAGTAAACCAACGATCTGAGACAACGGTGTGTCGAGAGAACTTTCTTAACTGTATTGTTGTAAGAAAATCTAAAAGCGCGTGTCATTTTAAGGTCACTGACCACAGTAAAGTATAACTATAATTATGATATTGTGTTATGATAATAATAAAACATGTCCGAAGTTCAATTCCGTTGTTTAATTAACTAATCTGAAAATAATCCTTATGTTATATTTTCAGGCGATGGGACGAGAGGGAACAACTGAAATTAATTTCTACGACTTTAACGAAGCAGAACCTAGTTTGTTTACCTACGATATTACCCCATGCTACAACAGTAAAGAAAAGAAAGACTTTCTTCTTATTCTTCCAAGTATGTATCAAACATCAAACAAAGTAAAAACTTTCTTATTCTTCCACGTATATATATCAAACATCAAACAAAGTTAAAACTTTCTTATTCTTCCACGTATATATATCAAACATCAAACAAAATAAAAACTCTCTTATTCTTCTTCCACGTATATATATCAAACATCAAACAAAATAAAAACTCTCTTATTCTTCTTCCACGTATATATATCAAACATCAAACAAAATAAAAACTTTCTTATTCTTCTTCCACGTATATATATCCAACATCAAAAATAAAAACTCTCTTATTCTTCTTCCACGTATATATATCAAACATCAAACAAAATAAAAACTTTCTTATTCTATTTCCACGTATGTATGTCAAACATCAAACAAAATAAAAACTTTCTTATTATTCTTCCACGTATATATATCAAACATCAAACAAAATAAAAACTTTCTTATTCTTCTTCCACGTATATGTATATCAAACATCAAACAAAATAAAAACTTTCTTATTCTTCTTCCACGTATATATATCAAACATCAAACAAAATAAAAACTTTCTTATTCTATTTCCACGTATGTATACATCAAACAAAATAAAAACCTTCTTATTGTTCCACGTATATATATCAAATACACAACAACAAACAAAAGGCTTTATTTTTATATTTCCCAGAGTTTCTTCCTTTGTTTGACTCTAAGCGTATAACTGCTCAATAGTCTGAAAGATTATAACGCTAAAAATCGGGTTTCGATAGCCGTTATGGGCAAAGCACAGATAGACCATTGTATAGCTTTGTGCTTTACAGCAAACAAACAAGTGTCGTTAAATATTTTTAGCGTAAATGTTATATGAGACTTTTGTTTTAACAGAGTCTTTTCCTAACAATTTAAATTTTTTCTTACTTATTATATTTGACTATATTACATTTACTTATTATATCTAACATCCTACTTTTCTATTTTTCTTTTCTAGTAAGGTTATCATCACAAACATTAATCCAGGAAAAAAGATCTAATGGTATTTCAGAGTTACAAAACGAAACAGTAGCAAGATCAAAAGTGACATTAAATGTATTTCCACCAAAAAATTCCTAGTTCAATAATGTCCCCAGTGCAAGAAATTTACTGTCCTAGTTCAATAATGTCCTCAGGGCAATACATTTACTGTCCTAGTTCAATAATGTCACCAATGCAGTACGTTTACTGTCCTCGTTCAATAATGTCCCCAGTGCAGTACATTTACTGTCCTAGTTCAATAATGTCCCCAGTGCAGTACATTTACTGTCCTAGTTCAATAATGTCCCAGTGCAGTACATTTACTGTCCTAGTTCAATAATGTCCTCAGTGCAGTACATTTACTGTCCTAGTTCAATAATGTCCCCAGTGCAGTACATTTACTGTCCTAGTTCAATAATGTCCCCAGTGCAGTACATTTACTGTCCTGGTTCAATAATGTCCCCAGTGCAGTACATTTACTGTCCTAGTTCAATAATGTCCCCAATGCAGTACATTTACTGCTGATATGTATTCTCTTTCCCTGGGAAGCGACTAAAGGTTGTGTGATAACTGATTTAATAGTATACGTGATAATACGTCCCTTATACTATTAGTACTGGACAAACTACTAAAACACTCAGGTTATATGATAACTGATTTAATAGTATATATCCCTTAAACTATTAGCTTGAACAAACTACTAAAACACCTCTGTTTCGGCTTTGTTATGGGCTGAATAGAACCGATACAAAAATTATATAGTTTCGTTTTGACATTCTTAATTTGTAAGTTTATCTGAACAACCACGATCTCTGTCATAAAAAAAGCACGCACACACACACATATATATATACCTGTTAAATGGTTTTCATAACATCTATTGGCCGTTGCAAACTTTGCGTTTATTTTGATTTAAAATGAATACGTTTAAAGTAGAGTGCTTTGTCTATCCTTTCATGTTTTAACCATTAGCCAAGTACGTTCTGGAGCTATCACGTAACATGAACCTTCTGAAGTCTCGAGTTTTAGCTGAATTAAGTAAGGCTGCGAGTGTTCACGTGCTTCGAGTTAACCAAATGAAGGTAAGAGCAAATACATGTTGTATTTCTGAGATCAGTTTCATGTGAACCTAGCTCACTTCTTATACTGCTTACTTGTACAGTAAAACCTTGGTTCGTATTTTAAAACTATGTACAATTCGCCTTTCCCAACTTTTATAATAAAGCTACTGAACAGTTATGTTTTTCTTTCTCACACAAACAAAAAATTTAAATATTTTTTAATATTACAGCTGAAGAAAAATACAAGGTCGCCCAAAAATTACCCCCATTTCGAATGCTCATGTGACTATAGTGAATGAACCTACAAGCCAGCAAGACATCTTTATTAATATTTCATGCAATAAATTAACTGTACATACACTGCTACATCATTTGATATGCTTAAACTGGGCTCCCTCAGCATTCAAACAATCATGATATCTACGACAGATGCCTGACACACTGTTACAAAATTTTCAACTCTGTTTCGATGGAAAGCATTTGTCGTCTGTTGCTTTAATTCGTCAGGGGTTTCATTCTTAGTCATCCTCCAATATTCTTTGAAATAAAAATGAAACTTTTAGCATCGGTGTACAGAAGTTGCATAACTTAGATAATGGGTATTTTTTGTTTAGCTATGCTATATGTATTGTTGGTAAAAATAATGCCAAATCCAGTCCACGTAACGGTAACGAATTAATTTATTTCTTCAATAACTTTAGCTACAAGCTACATTCACTGGTAAGCCTAAATTCGCAAACAACGTTTAAACAGAAATTCGAGACTAACGGTACGTACGGTTAACTTTCCTATAGAATTTACCCGCTGACACAACAGCCTGACTAACTGAATCGCAGTCGAATGGACACAATAACTCTCACTGTCTGACTCATTAACTGACACTGAAGTGAATACCTCATTAACTAGCTTAATTCATTTTTATAGTGTACTCATTTTCTAAAAAACATGGTCCGGCATGGCCAGGTGGTTAGGGCGCTCGAGTCGCAGTCTGAGGGTCGCGGGTTCGAATCCCCGTCCCACCAAACATGCTCGCCCTTTCAGCCGTGGGGGGCGGTATAATGTTACGGTCAATCCCACTATTCGTTGGTAAAATAGTTGACGGTATGTGATGATGATGACTAGCTGCCTTCCCTCTAGTCTTACACTGCTAAATTAGGGACGGCTAGCGCAGGTAGTCCTCATGTAGTTTTGTGCGAAATTCAAAAACAAACAAACTGAGAAGCATAGGAAGCTTTCGGATTCTACAGAATCCGTAACTTTCATGAAATTTCTAGATGATGCATCATTATGACGTCATGACAAGCACCCTGTAACAAACAAACATTTAAATTGAAGTAGTAAAAATGTAGTTTACCACAGTATGTTTTAGTCCTTGTTCTTTAAATTTAGTATTTGATTTTCTACAGAAATCTAATAGGATTGTGTCCGTCTTGTATTAAGATGTTTAATAACAGAATGTGTAAGAAATATCAATATTTCACCTTTCTATGGTTAGCAAAGACGTTCTTTTTTATTATAATAAACCTTTAAATGCTCATAATTCTGTATTCACAAGTTAGAAAACCGAGGTCTCGAAATCAAACTGAAGAAGAGAAATGATGTTGTAGAAACAATAGTTAACTCTTAAGTTTTATATGTGACGAAAACATATATTGTATGTAAAACAAGAGCGAAGTCTTTGCAATACGTGCTATCTTCTTTTTTAAATTTTTTGCTCAGAATATTTCTTTAGTTTTCGTTTCTTTGTTATATTTGTACATACGTACAATTAATATTTTGAATTCTTAGGTAAAAAGTGACGACAATAACTTCATGATTCACTTTACTTTGCTTGATAAACCGCCACTAGTGGGAAATGTTGCCAATCCAAAAGTTGATGAAAATGATCTCGAAGCGGCAGTCGACGCCTTGCGGAGTACAATTTACAATTCGCAGTTAAGAGTAACTGTTCCTCTAAACACTTCCTTCGTAAGTATGACAGGGGTTTTAGATTAATTTAGAGTAATTGTTCCTCTAAGTCCTACCTTCGTAAGTATGACAGGGGTTTTAGGTTAATTTGGAGTAATTGTTTCTCTTAGTCTTACCTTCGTATGTATGACAAAGGTTTTAGATTAATTTAGACTAATTGTTCCTCTAAACACTTCCTTCGTAAGTATGACAGGGGTTTTAGATTAATTTAGACTAATTGTTCCTCTAAGTCCTTCCTTAGTAAGTATGACAAGGGTTTTAGATTAATTTAGAGTAATTGTTCCTCTAAGTCCTACCTTCGTAAGTATGACAGGGGTTTTAGGTTAATTTAGACTAATTGTTCCTCTAAGTCCTACCTTCGTAAGTATGACAGGGGTTTTAGGTTAATTTAGAGTAATTGTTCCTCTAAGTCCTTCCTTAGTATGTATGACAA